GTTTTATTCAGAGTTTGTGCTGCCCAGTGGGGGAGGGCCAGAACCCAATGACAGGATGAGAAAGTGGGACAGCCTAACTTTGAGCTTCATACATTGTGCACGAGCTGTGCCCGCTTCACTGAGCTCAGCTCCCAGGGACCTCTAATGGCCCTTGCTAGCAAACATAGTTAAAAATTAACGGGCTGACAAGATTAAATACGGATGGCGAGCGGCCGCTGTGCACCAAATCTGGCGCAGGGCGTTACACGCTCGGGTGCCCTCGACTGGAGCAGCGCCTCGGTGAACCTGGAGACTCGGAGCACATTTCACACGCCTGTCTAGAAACAGGAGCCCAACTTGTGTTGAGAGCAGCCAGGAAGAGCTGAGGCACGGGAGAGTGAGCCAGCCCAAGGGCTTGTGCTCAGTCCCCAGCTTGGTGGGTCCCTGACACACTGTCTTCCTGGCTAGAAGTCTTGGACAAACCAGCCTTCTCCAGCTGGGCCATTTTGTTATTTTGAGGTAGTGTTTGCCATGTAGTCAAGGTTGGCCTCAAACTTGCAGGAGTCCTCCTTTCTCACCTTCTCAAGTGCTAGGAATATATATATATATATATATATATATATATATATATGCTATCTCCTTGTTACAGCCAAGATAACTCGCTGGGATGAGTTCAGATGGCGGACCTACCCTATGGATGAAGTCACACAAATACACAAATCTTTAGGTCCCAGGAATGGAACCCGGGTTATCAGTCTAGGCAGCAAGTGCCTTTAGCCGCCGAGCCAGCCATCTCACCTGAAAAATCCTTTTTTGAAGTATTGTTTTAACTGTTAGGTTCAAAGGGGGATGGGCTTGCTTTTGGGTTTGTTCCACGGCGACTAGCGCTGGCTGTCGCTGGTGCGGTCGCCTTGTATGGTAGTTACATTAAGAGCTACACATTTGCATGCCACATTGGAAGCTCCTCATCACCACTGTCAGGGACCCATGTTGGCATTTCTCAGCTCCGTGGGTCTTAGGAGCCGGTACGGAATGAAAAGATTCTGTGGTCAGATGACCTTGGGAAGCCCAGGGAGTGACTGAAGGAGCCCCTCCAGATCACAGCACAGCTGTTCATACACTGTATCAACGCAAGGACACAGGGCGTGTTGCTCTCAAAGTTTCTGGGCTGCAGACCCTTTCTCGACTGGTCGTGCCCTAGTTGTACTTCCAGAAGTCTTGAGTCCAGAGCAGGACCTGGCATCTGAGTGAGTGAATGCCAGCAGCCCATAGGGCACTTCCAACTGCAGCTGCAATGGCAGGTAAAGGGCCTGACAGTCTGAGTTCAATCCCTGGGTGCCACCAGCTGGTGGAAACAGCAAAACCGAGTAGGAGTGCTAGCCAGGCTGCCCTCCTCCTTCGCACATACACAGTTACACTTATAGACAAATGAATGGGGTTGGTTTGTTTCAAATGACCTGGGCCCTAGCCCAAGAATGTCTGCATTGCTAAAAGGCTGAGGTGAGCCTGGTGGCCCAGGGACCAAAGGTCAGGACTTGTACCTGTAGTCAGCAGAGAGAGAGGGGGAAAAAAGCCACTAAAGGCTGTCCCCTCCTGGTATCTGTGGTCATCACTATGCCCTAGAAGCCTCATGAGTGCCGGGATCTGAAGAGGACAGTGATAATGGGACTCAGTCACTAGAGAAGGGAAGAGTCAAAGCGAATGACAGTTCCTGCCCGCCTGGCCCCGTGTCCCCCTGTGCAGAGGATGCCAGGCGTGGCGCATTGAGTGGCTGTCCAGCCTGGAGGCAGCCAGGCCCTTTTTACCTTGGCGCCGTCATTGGACACACATTCTGGGTGGTGTTGGGTGCCAGGCTTCCGCTCCAGAACTTGCAGGTATTCACCCCTTTCTCTAGCGTGGTCCTTTTTCCCCTCCAGATCATCTACATCCCAGGTTATCTGCTCCTCCTGTCTAGTCCATCACCACTTGGGATATTACAGGCTGATGACGTGGTCTTTCTGTGTTTCTGTGAGAACTGTTTTGAAACAGCATTCCTGATGGAGTGTGATGACAGAATCCATATACTGTGTCCCCGGGGCAATGAATTGTCCCCACCCCCCTAACTGCGTTATTGGGAAAAGTTTCAGGATTTCTCTGTCCGGCACAGAGTAAGTCAGAGCTAGTGTTAGGAGTTCCTGGGGACCTCAGACTCCTGGAATTGTATGTAAGCTTGTGTGTGTTTTGTTTTCCTGCATATTCTTCTGCCGACAGTGCAGAAATGGCCAGAATGCCTGTTGAGCAGGCCAGGTCTTCCAGGGCTACAACTGTAGGCTTAACCAACCTATACCTGAAGAGCTGAGTTGGAGGAGGTGTGGGAAAACTGTGGTCCCTGTCCTCAGTGTTAATGAAGAGCCAAGCAGCCTCCAGGGCAGGGACAGCAGTGACCTAGGGCCAAAAGCTGCAGGGGAACAAACAGCCCAAACTGGAGTAAAGGTGAATCCGCTCTCCTTGCCATCCTCCAAACAGTTGCTATTAACACAAAACAGCTTGTTCTCCTGGCCAGCTGCCCACACTCCTGGCTATATGCCCCTGGGACTCTGCCCCTCCGTGGGTGCAAGAACAGATAGCTGCCCAGTTCGGCCTGGCATGCACTGCCCCCTGCTGGAAGGTGGCGGCCTGAGGCGTCTGGGTGTAAGAGCCACCCTGTCTTAGAAAGCACACTAGAATCCCAGCCTACACCACAGAAGGAAGACCATGCAAGTTCATCTTTTCTCTTCAGTCTTCAGCCACTGTGTGATTTAGGGAGTGTGTGTGTGTGTGTGTGTGTGTGTGTGTGTGTGTGTGTGTGTGTGTGTGTGAAGGGGGAGGGGTTAGCAGGAAGTGTTGGAACAAGAGGTAGCCAGGGGAGTCTAGGGTGGCAGACAGCAAGGCCGCCTCTTTCTCACACCCACCTTCACCAGTCCCAGACCCATGCCATCTACCCTGCGGCTCACTGCCCTCCCTGCGTCCCCCTTAGTGAACACCATCTCATGTTGGCCTCAGGGCCCTACATCCCCACCCCATGCCCAGGCCGCACAACTGCCACCACTGCTCCGCACTGACCTAGTGCACATGGACCATTTGGGGTTTAGGTTCCCAGTGCCGCCCGCCTAAGGGCCATGGCCCCTAGGCTGCCTCTTCCCAGTTGCCTCGGGAAGGCAGCCCCAACTCTGCTCTCTGCTTAGTGAGCAAATGGACTCAGCTGAACGAGCCATGAGCCAAGGGTAGGTATTGGTTTCTTCTGTCTTCAGCCCTTCCATCCCCCTGCTCCTGGTCTCTAGCTTTCTTAAGCCCCCTCTTTCCACATTGACCTCCCCTTTTTTGTTGTTTTATCCTTTTGCTCCAGACACTGGAGCATGGGTATTTTAGTCTGTCTCCAAGGACAAGTTTCTGATCCCCCAACCCATTCTGAGTGGTGGGAAAGATGCCAGCCTGTCTTTGAGGACCTTTGGGGGCTCCCAGGCAATGTGACCTTACCCTCAGTTTTTGCGCCCCTGGCCAGCTGGTCCCTGTTTTCCTGATAACATCTGACATAGTCCCCAGAGGACGTGTAATTACAGGACGGCCTCGGGGACGCCTGAGGTAGAGCTGATGAACCGGAAGCTTACAGTTCATCCTTAGTTTGGTTTTGTCTGGAGCCACAAATGTCCCAAACCAGAGCAGAAATCCTACCTCAAGTTGTCCTAGTGTGTGGAGTTCCCCACTGTGGCCCTCCTGTTCCACACTGACATTTCGGGGACTTGGCTGCTACCAGGGGATCCTTGAGTTGGAAGGAAAGTGTTTGGGAGTGTTTGGGTACCAGGACAAAAGTGCAGGAATTAGCTTCTCCCTAGGACCCAACTCCGTGGCTCCTCAGCCTTTCCAGTCCAGTCAGCAGGACATAGAGAGCCTTGTTCTGCCTTCCGAGCTGCACTCTGGGACAGCTTGTTTCCCACCCTTGAGTCCCCGGACTCTCCATAGCGTGGTCTACAAGTTGCTTCTGGCCCAGCTGTTCGTCCACCGCAGCCAGATGGCTCCTGCCTCACCTTGATGCTTGTGGAGCATCAAGGAGTAAATACCCTGCCATGTGCGGAGGCCCCTCCCCTACTTCCTAAGCTCCCTCTGCTCTCATTCGCCTTCCCAGCAGCACATTCTGTCTGCCCATTGTACTCAGTGGTTGGCTAGCCCTCTCTCCTAATAAAGGAGCAAGCAGAGTATGCCCAGCAATGTTCTGCAAGTAGAGGCAGAAGGGTTCAAGGCTAGCCTGGGCTATGTGAGACCCTATATCCAAAAATAATTTTAAAAAAAATGATGGGTGGGGACAGCTTTAAAGAGGTATTCCTTCTTCCCAGTAGGTTACAGACAAAACTGGTGTTGTCAGTTGGTGATTGGGTATTTAAGAATGAAATGAACATGCCCTTCGGTTCACATTTTGCTTGCATGGGACCCAGAGCATCCTAGGTGGAGAAAGCACCCTTCAGCCTGGTTAAGTTAGGCTGGCTGCGAGAGGCAACCCTGATGATCTGTGTCTAGCTTGTTGCCACAGGCTACAGTTGCCTCTTCAGTTGTGGTGAATACAGCCTGGTCTTCCTGATATCCTAGCATACCAGGAAGTCAACCCTTTTACTGAGAGAACAGGCTCTCTGAGAAAGTTGAGTTCTGGACAGGCCAGTCTTGGGAGGGGTCATGAGCTGCCCCTCCCTTGTCCATATTTTTGTTGTATAGGCAGCTCCCCCAACTTGGACATTTCTAAGGGAGCATGGAGAGGAGAATTCACAGGGCCATGCAGGCTGTTAACTCTGAAGAGGAAAGGCAGTTGGCAGAACCTCAGTACTAGCTGGAGTGGGGTGCCCTGTGAGTGGAAATTCTCTCAAGATGCTGCTTCAGGACTCAGGATGCCTCAGCCCCTGGGCAGGAAATGCCACACTGGCCAGTGTGAATGGAGCCATCTTGGAGCAGTAAGGAGGCCTGAAGACCTGGAAAGAGGTGGGACCCTTGTTCTCACAGCTCTTTTGTCTTTTCAGATGCGCTGGCTCCCTCCCTCCGAGGCTACTTCCCAGGGCTGGAAGTCCCGGCAGTTCTGCTGAGGTGGTGTAAGTACCCTGGGAGATCACACTCGGTGCTTCTAACCCATGCATGGTGGAGGTCTGCATTCAGCAGCTTCCTCTATCCTGGGCATTTTCACTGCAGTGGAAAAATGAGGAACAAGCCCAGAAATGCTTCAGTCTCACTTGGGGACCAGTTTCCTGCCTACCCCATTCCATGAGTAAACAGCAGGGCTAGTATCTACAGACCAGGCATCAGAAATTTTTGTAACTCAGTTGTGGCTCACCTGCTTTCAGCATTAAACAACACTCTTCTCAATATCATTGTAAACCATGGATGTACATTAGGGGATATCATGCACTCAAATACACAATTTTTTGTACAGAAGGCAGTGTGCTGCTGTTGCCAAGTCTTAAGATTTTAAAATACAGTTGGGCATGGTGGCGCACGCTTTTGATCCCAGTACTTGGGGAGCCAGAGGCAGGTGGACTGATGTGAGTTTGAGGCTAGCCTGGTCTACAAAGCAATTTCAGGACAGCCAAAGCCAGAGAAACCCTGTCTCAAAAAACATTTAAAAAATTTTTAATATTTTCTTTCTTAGATTTGTTAACATATATGAATATATATACACATACACATACACATACACACACACACACACACACACACACACACACACACATATATATATATATATATATATATATATATATATATGTATATATATATATATATATATTTTGCTAAGTGTATGCATGTGCGCTACATACAAGAAGTGCCTCAAAAGCCCAAAAGAGGGTGTTAGAGCCCTTGGAACTGGAGCTACAGATGGTTGTGAGCCACTGTGTGTGTTCTGGGAACCAAGTCCTGTACAAGAGCAACAGTTCCTCCTACCACTGAGCCATCTCTGCAGCCCTCACTTAAAAACAAACAAACAAAACAATTGTTTTTCTAATTATTGAATTTTTCCAAATGTTATACAATATATTCTAATCATAGCTTCCCTTTTCCAACTCCTCCCACCTTTCCACCCACCCAACAAAAAAGAAAAACCAGACTATAAAAAAGAAAAAAACACAAGAAAACATAGACACATACTTTAAAACGAAACCCCTAAAAGTGGGAAACTATAATATACAAGCAAAAGACCATTAAGACAGAAAAAAAACAAAAACACCCAAACAAAGCAATGTGACACAAGAAGTCTACAGAAATACCTGTTGGCCAACTACTGGTCGTGGGCCTTACCCGTTAGTGGCGACAAAGGGCTAGGGACTGTTGCCATCAACACAGATTCTCAAAGCCCCAGAAAGATCCAAACCAAACAGTGTGACGTCTATTGAAAACAGGCCGCCTCTTCTGAGCTGAGCGTGGCCCACAGCTTGGCTGCCATGTGATCTTGGGGGGTGTCCTATGGGGTGAGTCTGGAAGGATGTGGGCAACAGTGCCCACGATGGCTGCAGGTGCTGCTGTCATTTAGCTACTTCTAGAGTCTTGGATCATGTCTTTCAAAGTCAGCTAAAAATTCAAGCACATAATCTTGGGAAGTGTAAAGCAGAATTGGAAACAGTGGTGTTGAGCTAAGAGAAACACAGTAGACCAGTGCTAAGCAGATGGCCAACACCATACCACAGAGGAGCTTCCTTCTCCCACCAGTTATTTTCCCTAGGGAGAAAGATGGTGCTAAACCAGACAGTACAGGCAATAAGGGTGTCAGTACCAAAATATTGAATGCTGTCCTTCAAATCCTGGACAGTCCTTGGCCTGCTCCAGAAGAGGTCCTCGGGTGTTTGTGTTTGGTTTTCTGAGACAAGGTCTCATGGAGCAGGCTGGTTTTAGACTCTTGGATCTTCTTGCCTCCGGCGCAAGTGTTGGAATTACAGGTGTGCAATACCATGCCTTGCAGTCTTCGGGAACTCTAGAAATAAATGACTAAACAAGAAATATAAGCTAGCTCTTTACTGTTTATACCTTCTGTGTCTTACATTCTCACGAGAGCCCCACTGACACAGTCTACACAGAACAGCTGCTCTGGATGTCCTGGGCTCAGCCTGCAGAGAAGGGTCTGTGGTACTGGTGGTCTGAGGAAGACCTTTAGAAGAGCGAGCAGAGGGTTGAGCGTGCTCAAGTTCTCTTGGCATGTGGTCAGTGGAAGAGTGATGTTTAGTCTGTCTACACGTTGTATGGCCCCCTGAAAACTAGACTTTTGGTGATGGTCCAGCTATATAACAGAGAACTGTGATAAGGTTTGAAAGGCCTAATATTTTGAAAAGTACCAATTTCCCAACTCCATCAAGAACAAGAGAGCATGAAGACATTTTCTGTCATTCTTTACAAGTAACAGAATGACGACTTTCCTTGTTGGATATCCAAATATAGTTAAACAATTCTTTTAAAGAGCTTGGGGAATGGTGTGGGATGAGATAATATTCTTAAGAACTTGTGAGATTTGCTTGGCCTTCCACTAGGACTATGCGTAGAATTGTAAGCACGGGTTGTTAACAGCCTCATTGACTTAGAGGAAATGATGGGAGAAAAAGTGTTTGGAATTCATTAGCAGATTGCGCCTTCATCTTTTTGGGTGAAACCGTCTAGTCCGTCTGTCTTTGGCGCTGGGTCTCCATGCAGGTCCACAACTGCTGTGCCGCAGTCACCCCTGCTCTCCCCCTTAGGAGACACCCAGTGTGGTGTTCAGACTGTAGCATACCAAACACCAGAGCAGACAGTTCTTGTGACTGACTTGCCCTTCCTGTTGCTACTTACTGGGATCACACTTGAACTCATAGCGGCAAATATTCAATGAGCATCTACAGTGTATGAGGAGAAGGGTAATGGAGTAATAAAATGAACATAAGGAGGTCCAGTAGGGGTGCGTATCATGACGTCTGATAGGAATGGGAGAGGAACTGCTGGGAGTTTGACAGCTTTTAATATTCCATGTAGGAGGCGGGTCGGCCTAGCAGTCCAGATCTTTCCCAGCAGACCCTGCTGTACCAGAAATGTCCTCCAATCTTTTTACCTCTCCCATGGTTAAATAGAAGTAGGTGGAGCCAGTCGGTGGTAGTGCATGCCTTTAATTCCAGCACTCGGGGAGGCAGAAGAAGGCAGTTCTCTGAGTTCAAGACCAGCCTAGTCTACAGATTGAATTCAAGGACAGCCAGGACTCCACAAACCCCGTCTAGAAAAACAAAACAAACCAGAAAGTAGATGGGCTTGGACAGCAGCCAGGGCTGTAGAGCTCTCTCTGGGAAGTGCCTGTCACCTCAACATGGAGATGGCGCTGGCTCTGACTACTCTGATCCTATTATCTTTTGTGGTTACATTTACATGTATGTTATACTGCTGCAAACCTCTGCCCTGTCAGATACTATAGTCTTCTTCCAGCCTGTCCCAGATTCCTTAAGCCTTGGTAAGCTGGAAGCCAGCATACCTGCAGCCTGTCTGGTTGCCTGTTCAGTGTCTTGCTGTCCCTTTAAGTTTGAAGAAGGTTGGCTGCATGTGAGATTATCTACTGAGATGGAGATGCCTAGAGCAGCCTGTGCTCTACCCTCCTGTTCCTGTGCATATTCTGAGTTCACACATTCTGGGGCTGTTTGCCTGGTGGTCACTTCATTGTCTCTGCAATGACTGGCTCACTACCAGCTGTGGAGCCCTGGTATATACAGCTTGTTGGTAAAGCACCCCCCGCCCCTGTGTTGTGGTGAACCTAGGGCCAGAGTTAGTTCTCTTGGTTACCATAAGCCCAGAAGTCATGAGGAAGCCAGCCACCAGCATGACTTCAGCAGCAGTTGGCATCCCAAGAATTCAGTTCAGCTTGGCAGCCTTAGGAATCACCCTGGACCTGCTGTTGCCAGCCAGGCTTGGGGGGCACCCTCGAGAGTATGGCAAAGGCAGAAGGGAGATTAGGTCTTTTCCACTCCTCAAATAACCCAGCTTCTTCTGGAAACCAGAATCACACCTACTCCTCTTTATATGTTTCTGTGGTGAAATCTTTCCCATTTACTCTAATAAGACAGACTCTTGCAGACTCAGTCTGAATTCTAGAAAAAGCAGATTCTGCACAAGATGCAAAACTAGATACAACCTGACTCAGGGAAAGAAGTCAGCAGTGAGCACAGGGAAACAAGCACTACAGTAGGGTCTTTGCTGTCCATAGCCATGGAGTGGGGCTCTTTTCTTAGCATAAGGAATTTGGCAGAAACCAGCCGGGCCAGCAGCAGCCAAGCTGCCAGGTGTATGAAAGATGAATCAGCCAGTTCTGGTGCTCTCTTCTCCTCTCTTCTCTGCACCTTCAGATTTCACAGCTCTTGGTATCTTGGCCATCACGGGACAATCATGGATGTGCTTCCTCTTCATAGCAGAACTTAGCAAAGCTGTTATAGTCTGAGGCAGCCCCTGGAACTGGTGGCTGTCCTGGGTCTATCTGTGTGGGGCCTCAGATCTCATGATGTGGCTAGCAGGCTTTGGGGTGGCACTGGGATCTAGTAGGGTCTGTGGAATCCTACACCATGACTTTAGATGTAGAGTCCCCACAGGGTGGAAAGACAGCCTTCCATGCTTGGGCTCAATGACTTCTCTGAGTGTCCTTGCCTCTGACCAACGGCCTGCTCATTATTCTAAGTCCCAAGATCACTTTCTAGTCTGCAAGCATTCTGTGCTGTTTGCAGTGGCAGCTGTGTCCAGCTCCATGCACCAACAGAATAGGCTGGTCATCGTGACCCAGAGCAGCATGAGGCCCACAGAAAAGGTTGCCATGTGCAGTTAACAGATCTCTCTGTCCACCCAGGTCTCGGGTGTGTGATGGCGGCTGCAATCTGTCTTGTGGGTATTAATGCGATCTTCACTGGTGGCGACTGTCATCCAGCTGTTCTGCAAAACTGGAGCTTGCTGGTGAGTGCCAAAGTCACGTGGCAACCAGTGTGGGCAGGATGGGCACCAGTATCTCCTAGAACCACAGCCTCTGCATGGGCCCATGGTATCCTCGAACTACCCTCTCCAGTTGTCTAGCAGGCTCTCCCAGTGATTCCCAGCCACAAACTACTTAAGG